TCTTCACTATCTCTGTGTAACGTGCTGATACTCCTATTTTGTTGAAATGTGTAGGTCTATGGAACTGTCTTCCACATAAACCAGGGGAACCCATTCAAGCTTAAGGCCCTGGTGGACAAATGGCCTGATTTTAATACTCTGGTTATTCGTCCTGAGGAGCAGGTAAGTTGCCCAGTGAGAAATGCATATGGCTCTGTGTTCATGTCTGCCATATGTGTATCAGGAGCCTGGCAATAGGGTAGACCCCAGGGAAACTGAAAGGAACTACAGTGGTGCCAACTCAAGAAGCTCACACGCTGGAGAACAGAAGCTCCTAAATGAATTCACCCTGGTGTGAAATGGGCAGAGGTAATAAACAAAACTCAGTAGTAGCACAGGGAGAAAGTCTGTGATTCACTTTCATCCTTCTTCATTATTTTATTTTGTTTACAAGCCAGTCCCCCAAAGAGAATAAAATCATGGCATTTGCAAGTAAATGGATGGTAATGCTAAGTGAAGTTAGCCAATCCCAAAGAACAGAATGCCAAATGTTTTCTCTGATTTAAGGATGCTGATTCATAATGGGGTGGGGAGGATAAAAGGGCATGGGAAGACTAGATGAACTCTAGATAGGGCAAAGGGGAGGGAGACGAAGAGAATGGGCATGGGGTAGAAAAGACGTGGAATGAGATGGACATCATTATCCTAAGTACATGTATGAAGACACAAATGATGTGACTCTACTTTGTGTACAACCAGAGATATGAAAGTTGTGCTCTGAATGTGTAATATGAATTGCAATACATTCTGCTGCTGTCATATCTAACAAATTAAAACTTTAAAAAATAAATTTTCAAAAAGATGTAGTAAATTTAATCAGTTGGAGAAGCTGCTGCTACTGATGATTTGAGAAGTAAAGCTTTTTATTAAAATACATTGTATGATTAAAAAAGAGAGAGAGAGAGAGCATTTCCTAGGCTAGATTTCTATATTGTAATAAATCAGATCGTGATTTCATTTTCAACTGTGAGCCTAAGATGAAAAAATATTTCCTGTCTTTGAAAACCACCGGTCCTGGAGTCATACCAACTCATTCATACTAAATCACAAACTCTCACTGAAAGGCTCTTCCTACTGAGATGCAGGACTGCCTTGTAACCAAGTGTCCACAGTGAAGTCAGTGAAACAAAAGAAAAAGTACTACCTGTGGTAGATGTTACAGGGAGAGAGTCAGAGTTGCTTCCTAGTGAAATTTTTACTAAAACACAGTGTTGAACACACATTTTTAAAAACTTTTAAGGGAAGGCAGGAAAATCGCTAGTGTGATCCATGGTGTGATAGCTGAATAGCAAGTGTATTTTTATTTAATATTTCTTGATATTGGAAGATTAAAAGGACTTATAAATGAGGCTACACTGGTTGAAGTAATTTTTCTTCTTTTTTCTGTTCCTTCATATTCAAGTAATCCTATCCTGGTTTCAATAAATTTGCTAGACATGTTTGAATATCTATGTTTATGAATGCAGTCGTTCATTTGCTTGATGGACTTGGAGTTTGTTTAACAATGTCTTTTCTTTTTTTAAAGAAGGCCTATTGAGTTCAATATCTTTTTATTTGGTTTCATCATTTATAGATGGCTAATCTATCCTGTTACCTGTATGAATTATAATAAGGATATGTGCATAGTCCAAAGCAAAACTTATTCTTTCAACTAGAGATTTTTCTTTCTTCTCGGCTGTTATTTTAGCTCTTCTACATGAGTTTTATGGAGGTATAGAAAAATATTTTTGATTGGATTACTTTTAAATTTCAAAGCAACAGTAGAGTTAGGATATTTTTCATTTTTAACTGAATAAGGGAGTCCTTGACTTGATCCAAAAAAAATTAAAAAGAAAAGCAAAAAAAAAACCATAAAATGCTAATTTTTATATTTTAAAATATCATAATATAAGGGAGTACTGACAATCATCAACTACAAACATTTTGGCTGATTCTTCTTTTCTTAACCCCAACAGGAAATGACAGATGACCTGGATCACTACACTAATACTTACCAGATCTATTCCAAGGATCCCAAGAACTGTCAGGAATTCCTTAGCTCACCGGAAGTCATCAACTGGAAGCAACACTTGCAGATTCAAAGTAAGAACTGGCATTGTGCTGGCTGCTGGAATCTCCTGCCTGAATACACTTGTGGGGTCACTTTCTATTTTGAATAAGCACCTTGCACACCACAATATCTTTCCTCTAGGATCCAGACACTCATTCTTCTGTCCATTCCTGAAGCCACTCCCTCCTTAGTGAAACGTGTTGATGCAGTATATAAGGTTTAAAAAGGAAATTTTGAGTAATACATTTTCCTAGGAGCTAAGGACTCATGATTTACTCTCCGGAGTGTCCAGGACCTATTAAAGAACATGGGGATGGGAGCAAAACTTCTTTCTGTTCCGTGTCTGTTTTTTCACACTGTCAAATTCACAAAGGAGTATCTTGGTAAGTAAGAATATGCTCTCTGGAGTGAGATTATCAAGACTGCAACCTTCCTGGTGCTGTTATTAGCTGAATGATGTAAGGTAAGTAACAACCTCTCTGTGAGTCAGTTTCCTTATGCATAAAATATTAACACAAAATATTTATTGAGTATAAAATAAAACTGAAAAATAGAGTCCTTGAGGGTTAAATGAGACCTTGACTGGGAAATGCTTAGCAGTTAGATTTTTCAGACCTTCTCAAAGTAGCAATTTAAGGCCGCCATCATTTATTAGCTCACAATTGTGGGAGTTAGCACTTTGGGCTAGGTTCAACTAGGTTGTTCGTTAGTCTCACCTAGAGTCACTGTGTGACCGTAGTCAGCTGGACGGTCATCCATGAGCTGGTAGGACCAGGTTAGTCATGGTCCCAAGCCTGCCTGTGACACTAGCTTTGTTTGCACTGTTTTTTTTTGTTGTTGTTGTTTGTTTGTTTTGTTTTTACTACAGTGATAGAAATAGGCTGGGCAACATGTAAAGTTAAAAGGGTACTGTATTAGTCAGGGTTTTCTAGGGGAACCGAATCAACAAGAAGTATAAAAAGCAGACTTATTAAGTTGGCTTCATGCCCAGAAGCTGGATAGTCCATAATGGGAAGAACCAGTGGCTGCACAGTCCAAGAGGCTGAAGCTCCAGAAAAGAGGGATCTTAGTCTGAGACCAAAGGTTTCTGGAGAATCCACTTTGCCAGAGTGAAAAAGTGAGAGTCCGACATCCTCAGAGAATCCCAGCAGTAATCAAGAACCCGTTGAAGAAGAAGGGAGCTTGCATCTGCTTCTGCTTCCTTGTTTTTCCAACTTTTATTCCATCCAAGACATCCTATTGGTTGGTGCTGCCCACACTTAGAGAGGGTCTCCATTTCAGTTGGGTATCCCACATGCCAGTCATTCCTGGACACACCCTCATCCACACACCCATAATCCTCTTCATCCTTGGCATCTCTTAATCAATTTGACAATTCAAATTAACCCTTACAGGTACTGAGGGGCCAAAAGACAACATTGTAAAGCTTCTTACTAAATCACATTTGCTCTCATTCCATTGGCCAAGCCGTATTAACTGGCTATGTCCGAAGTCATTTCAGAGAGAAAATTAGATTAGTTAGTTAGGTAGGAATAATCTGGGACCATTATAGCAACAATTGATTGCACTGTGCCTAGAAATTGACCAGTAAATTTTAGTTAATATCCCTACACCTCATCTCCTTTGGTCACCTTTATTGTCCCGTGATGTATTCAAGACCTGTGATATTATGCTAATTTTAAATTTTAAAATATATGGGAGTGATGTAACTGTTTTCATCTAACGCCTATATCATGACTGAACAGGTGATTTGTTACTTCTGTCCACATACCTTCCGACTCCTTTGGGCAGTTTTTCCCAAACGTTAATGGAGGATGAAATCTCATATGATGCCTTGCTTTCCCCCATCTAGGCTTACAGGCCAGCCTGGATAAGGTGATAAAAAACCTTGTAGCCATTCATTCGGGCCAAGTCAAGCATACACAATGCTTTCTCTACATGGTACATGACACAGCAAAGAAACTGGCTCCTTCGATGCTGGATGGAAAGAACGCATCTCCCGATGGTGACAAACCCAAGTCCCTGTAAGTCTGAGAGGAGCCAAGCTGCACCATTCAGTTGTCACCACTGAAGTTGTCTCCTGTGTTAGGGTTCCAGGACTGTCAAAAATATTAACACAAACTGGAAAGGGGCTCCAAACAACAGAATTTCATTCTCTCGTGGCTATGAAATCCAGAAGTCCCAAATCAAGGTGTGAGCAGGGCCATTCCTCCTCTCAGGTCCACAGAAGAGAGTCCTTCCTTTCCTCCACCAACTTCTGATGCCTCTGTCTAGATGCTGCATCGCTGTGGTCACAAAACAATCACTGTCGCTTGGCATTCTCCTCTGTGTGTCTTCTCCTCTTTTGTCTGAGGACACTTGCCATTGGATTGATAATCCACAGAATAATCAGGGCGATTTCATATTGAGATTCTCAACTTAAGGATCCTTATATCTTCAAAGATGACTTTTCTAAACAAGATCACATGAGCAAGTGCCAGGGGAAAGGTACCTTTTTGAGGGACTACCATTTAACCTGCTATCCTTTCCAACTTCTCTCCCAGCTTTTGTTCTGACCCCCTTGGGATCTGTTTTCTGCAAAGTAGCCTAAGTGATCTTTTTTAAAATTTAAATAAAACCACGTGCCTCTCCTGCTTAAAAGATTCCCAATACTTTCCATCTCACCTTGAAATACTTCTGTTGAAATGCTTTCTCAGCCCTGTACGAGCCAGTATCCATTTCCTTTCAGAGATCGCCTCTTGTTTATTTCCTCCATCAACCCTGGCCTTCCTCTAGTCAAAAAACAAAATTGCAACACATTTAGTTTAAAGATATTAACTGACCTTTATTTGTGGTTCTGGAATCGAGCAACCTCTTGTTCCACAAAACAGAGTAAGTGTTCCAAGGGGGTAGACTGAAGAGCTTGGTTTTCTAGACAGAGAAGATTTCAAGAAAGCAGATAACAATTTGTTCTAGGTTTAGTGACCTGGAACTTTAGTACTAGCGATCATATTTTTGCTTTTTAATCTGATCTGTGGAGCCCAGTGCAAAACTTAATTCATAATAATGATCTCCTGTAATTTTTATTGAACTCTTCCTACTTGATCATCACAAGCTCAGGCCCTTTGAATTAGCTCTTCTGTCTAAAATGTCTCTCACCCACCCAGTATTTGCACCCAGGATTTCTTTCATTATCCAAGACTATTCACCGCTCTCCCCACCCCCGTTAGTCAAGTCACTTCCCAGTTATTCTGCACACATGACCCAGTTTTGTTTTCTTCGTTGTGCTTATGATTATCTAATATTGGCTAGTTTACTTATTTGCTGTTTAAATCCTACCCCAACAATATTGCAAATCCTATAGGAGCAGGGATCCTCCCTCTGTTGTTCACTGATAGATTCTCAACAGCTCATGTAGTCACCTGGCACATGGTGGGTGCTTAGTGTGTTTAATGAATTCACATCATGAAACAAATGGGTTCCAATAAGAATCATTTGAACAAATTATCTATTCTTTCCCACTGAATTTTTCATGTAATTGAGAATAGAATTAAAAGTTTTGAGTGGAGATTTGATCTCGAGATGCTCAGCCCTCTATGGCCTTCTGAGCTCTTATGTCAGGAAAAGTTTTATTCACGTAGTAAAGGACATTATAACCTAGGAAGCACCTCCATGTCTAAAGTCTCAAAGGCTCCTCGTGACCCTTTGAGACAGACAGGAAAGAGGCATAACTTTCATTTTCTCCATGGAAAGCAGGTGCTGATGATGGAGTGGTTGCTCACCATGTGGACCGTGAAGGACATAACTGGAGCTTGAGAATAGATCTTCTAGTCCCTCATCCAGGGCTCTTTCCAGCATGTTCCCCTGGCCCCTTTACACACTGTAGAAATCTTCAGACTTACATGTTCTGTCACATGGTGTCCTTCTCTGGACTACACTTTCTCATTCGTTCAACACAATGGCCCGGGTCCTCAGACACCAACATTCTAAGGTTCCACAGTTCTAAACAGGGACTTTCCTGCTTGCTAGCAAATTTTCTATGCAACTTCTCTATGTCAAATGGGGATAATCACACCTGAGCTAACTACCTTGCAGGGTTATAGACAAAACCAAATGAAACATTGGAAATAATTTCTATCTGCCTGGTGCTGGATCTAAACACCAATAAACATTGGCTCATTGAAGCCTAACGGTGATTTCCTAAGGAGGTGTGTTTATCATCTCTAGTCAACAGAGGAGGAAAAGGAGAAAGTGAGAGATTCATTTATCAAGCCAGGCCACACAAGCAGTGTTGATAGGAACCAGCAGTCTGGCTATGACTTTAGATAGGCTTCTGTTTGCCTCTCAGGACAGTTTGGGGGAAAATGAAATATTTCACAATGTGTGTGATAATAAGGATTGGTCTTTTCCCTTGTTCCCAATAGCAACCAAGAGCTGTTTAAACACTCATCCCTGGATATTACCCATGCTGCCTTGGTGAACAAATTCTGGCATTTTGGTGGCAATGAAAGAAGTCAGAGATTCATTGAGCGCTGTATCCGGACCTTCCCCAGCTTCTGTCTGCTGGGGCCTGAGGGGACCCCTGTGAGCTGGACCATGATGGACCAGACTGGAGAGCTGCGAATAGGAGCTACTGTGCCTGAGTACCGAGGCCAAAGTCTCCTTTATCACATCGCCCGATGCCAGATCCAGACTCTGGGAAAACTTGGCTTCCCCATGTATGCTCATGTGGATAAGGCCAACCACATCACACAACGAGTGACCCTCAGGCTGGGTAATATCCCCATGCCCTTTGACTGGAACCAGTGGAACTATGTGCCTCTGTGAAAGTGGCCCTGGACATAAGTCAGTATTCAGTGACTTTGCATGTGGCTGGAGAAGAGGATGGGTAAACGGGGGGAAGGAATACATTGTAATGGAGTAGCCTGTGAGTTCGAGGAAATGGGGATGAGTGGTGAACAGCAGAACCGGGGTCCCTGCCCTCAAATGCCTAATGAACTTTGCTTTGCTTCCTCAGCATGAAATTGAACCAGTACCCTACTCCCAGGCTAGCTCAGCTCCCACATTCTCAGGGTCCCTGCAGGTGTTTCTATGTTGCTCTCCTAACTCATGGACCGTTGTGCATTCGCCAGGAAGTGGGTTCTATGATTTCCCCCTCTGGCTTCCTATAGCTTTTCTTTTATTGGCTGGAGAATAGCCTGTTTCCTGAACAGGTCTTTTGAAAAATCATTTTTTTTCCAGGCTTCCTAGGCCTTGAAATATATTACAGACATGCACAATCTACACAAATACATTACACATGAAATATATTACACACAGGCACGATATACACAAAGCAATAATGAGAATAAGTAAGAAGACACTCAGAATATTTTTGCAACGAGTCTTAATATCTTTTGCCATGAGTTATCTTTTGCAATTCATACCCCGGGAAGGGTAATCTGGCATTGCTTCTAGAGGCTGAGCTTCCTTAATCCCCCACCCTCCATGATCCTGTCATAATCAAGAGATTCTAAAAACAGAAAGATTATTTGATTCTTTGGTTGTGGAAGCTTAATCTACATGGTTCGTGAGGGGATATGGATGTAGGGAGAGGAGAAAGTGAGAAGACTCAGACCAGGGAGAGGGATATTTATTATCAGGCACAAGCCTGTGGGAGGCTTTGTATAGGATTGAGACCGGGTTCCACCTGGTAGCAGCACACTGCTTTGAGATACCTGAACCCTGTGCAGTACAAGTGAGGGCCATGTAGGAATCTGGTGAATAAAGGAGGCCACCAGGAAAGTCATCTCTGAGTCTCCCTAGAAGACTGCCCAACAGTGCTAGAGAAATAACACCCACTGAAAGGAGAAAAGAGAGAGACCCTCACCAAGTTGGGACTTGAGTCATCACAGCCCAATTCCTCCACACTTGAACACCAGCTAAAACCCACCCCAGAACTGTCCTGGAGTCCTTGAGAGAAGAAGGGCTTTGTGATATGGGTGTAAAGAGAGGAGAGACTCCTGATGTGGAGCAACAGAATTTACAATACTAGAGAGAGAGAGATCCCATCACCCCCAGCCTACAGAAACCATATCTTTAATCTCAGTAGGGAATGTTGGCTTTGCATTATCCGTCAGTTAACAGTCAAATAAAGTGATCTGAAAACACTGCAAATATAGGCATTGGAAGCCTCCTGTAGCAGGGAGTAGGCCATTAGTTCCTCCAGTCCAAAACTTAAAGCCTGAGGCTATTGGTCCTGTGGCTCCAAGCAATTATTTAAGAATTTCTTCAAAGTCTGCACTCAGTTTGCTGTGAATGACAGAATTATCTACTTTCTCCCCCAGGCTAAAGCTGCCAGAGGAGGATAAAAATACAAGGATGCTTTCTACTCCTTTAAATTCATTTTCAAAAGTTCATTTTGATAGAGGCTTTCTTATTCTATTCCCAAATCTGAAACTTTTAACAATTTCTTTTAAGAACCTGTAGGTTGTGTGTAGATTCACTTATAAATTTAGTTTTCATTAAGTAATTTTAAATGTTCCGAATTGTATTTATAGATTTTGTTTTCCTTATAAAGATTTTGATTCTCTGGTCATAAACAGCACCATCCTAAAAGACAAATAATTCTTAAAAGTCTAATAAACAAATAAAAATAAATCAAGATTCCAATAATGGTGGGAGCTGGGAATTCTTTCGAGAATCTCCACTGCAACTCCACCACCATGGCTCCTCTAGGCATCGCCAGTCTGAAGCCACCACTGTCCTTTGTCAAACCTCTTTCTGACCTTCCAGACTTTCCTTTGAAATTTCAGTGAAAGCTGCCGCGACCCCACAGCTCTTGCCTTCTGCATACCTGCAAAACCAGCATCCCGTGGCTGCCAAGGTGGACTTCAGGCATGAGCTGTACCTGGGCCCACTTGAACCATGACTGTGAGCTGAGAAACAAATCCCAAGTCCATGGAAAGTGGCCTGGACTCAATTCCTGAACAGCTTTGTCCAAGAAGGCCTCTGGGTGTCTGATGGAACGGGCAGCCTTAAAGATTTCTAAGATACCCTCAAGGGCTTTTCCAGATGGTCCTGATTCTCAGCATTCCTGTTGATCTCCTTAGGAGGCTGATGCATGGCCACGCCATCCTCTTATGTGCATCTTTACCAGGCTGCGAAGTTTCTGAATCTTTCTGCTCTGTATTCACTCTCAAGTCTCTCTGTAAATGCCATTAATAGCAAATATACCCATGCCACAGCCTGAAGGCTTTGCCATTCAGACATTTCTTTCACACATATCTTAGGTCATATCCTTTAAATGTGGCCTTCCATGAAGCTCTAGAGCATGGAAATGATGCAGCTGTGTTCTTTGTAATGGTGTAACTGGGATGACCTACTTTCTAACTACCAATTGATCCTCATTTCCATCTGAGACAAGTTCCTTCGTCTCCTCATCTTCTGACTTCTCCATAGAATTGCCTGTAATATTCTGCATCCAGCCTTACGAGCCTTTTCTAGCCTACTACTCCAAATTCTTCCAACTTCTATTATCCAATTCCAAAGCTGCCTTCATGTTCTTGAAGAGTTATGGTAAGGACTTCACTCCTCTGAACCAATTTTCTGTATTAGTCTGTTTTGTGTTGCTGATAATACAATACTATAAACTAGATTATAAAGAGAAGAGATCATTTTGGTTCACGATTCTGGTTGAAGCTCAAGAGGCAGCATGAACAAGGGGTGATTATGGAAAAAGGGAGACGTGAGACTGAAAAGACAAGTGGGGATGGTTGTGGCAGGCGTGGATACAAGGGTGGAGGGGGGACTGGCTTTCCTAAGTACATAAAGTAAATAAATTTCACTTATATTAATTGAAGGGGATGGCGGAGGCAAGGGACAGATGCTGGGGGTTAGGTAGACGTCTGATGGGAATCCGTGGAAGTTCTTTTTAAGGGATGAGAAAGAAATGACTTGCAGATAAAATATCCAGAGGAGCCAGGGTCTCCCAGAGGACATAGCCTAAATTTGCTTAGCCAGAGTGATGACCCAGCTGCAGGTGTCCACTTGAACTCCTTGACCACTTCTGTGCTCAGACACCAGAGGCCACACCCCAACATCTCTGATGGGTACTATCAGGTACTGCTACTAGAACCACAGCTCCTGCCCCCACTGCCACCAGTCTGCTTAGCTAAAGACCAGAATGTGCTTATCTATGTTTGAGGTAGTCTATGTCTTGTTCCTATACCCTAACTGCAAATGGTGTTAGGAGGGCCTGTAGCCAATATTTTCAACTACTTCAATATGGGAAACCACCTTGGCATGGTAAGGCAGAGACTCTCCAAATATAAACAGGTCCTTCAAATATTGAATATCTAGAAAAGAATTATAAATTCTAGGAGACAGCATTCCTTATCCTCACTCCCCCAACCTCCCACCACCTAACAAACACCACAAATTATTATATTGAAATGAATCCTAGGTAGCACATCATTTTGCCTGTCGATACTTCATTAGTATCTTTAAAAGATGACTTTAAAAAGTATACCCAATATAATTAACACAGTTAAAAGGAGTAATTACTCCTTAATATTATAGACTGTCCAGTCAGTGTTTAATTTCCCCACCCATGTCTCTTTATAATTGACTCGTTTGAACCAAAATTTGAATAAGTGTTCTAACTTACTCTTTTGTTTTTATCACCGTTCAGTTTATTTGTTGAAGGTATCATGTTGCTTGTCTTCTAGACAAACCTTCTATATTTGTTTAACCTGTTTTTATGCATCATAGATGTTGCTTAGATTTTTTACATTCTAGGTGTAAAAGTTTGCATTCAGATTTAATTTTTTAGGAAGAATATTTCATAACTGTGACTTCCTACTGCATCACATCAGTGAGCCGCATAAATTCTTTTGAGCATGTTCAGACTTCTATGTTTGGTCCAGCTGTTGTCATACTTTTCCAATCATTATGAATTTCCTTGTCAGCTATTCACCTTTTTGTTTTAGCAGCCACCGATGAAATTTACCTACATGCATTGAATTGTAAAATGTTCACTGGTTCTAGATTAATAAATTCAATTTTTAGAGCAATCTTAGGTGGAGCCTAAAAATTCCCCAGTACTGTTAAAGAGGTTGTTTGGAGAACCAAACTTTAAGAATCACTTCTCCAAGTCAAAGTCTGGGTCTGGGCTAGGTAGACCATGTGGCCACCAAGCAATTTGGGCCCCACATACGGTTTCCCTCAAATCCATACACAGTAGGAACATACACTAAATTACTGTAAAGTCAATTGCAATAATTTATTTCCATTTGTTTCAGCTACCAACTTAAAAAAACATTTCATTTTGATATTAAAGGATCGATTTTTAATTTGCTTATATTGTATTTAAGAAAACTACTTACATGAGTTCAAAGTCAAATACACAAGATAGGCACATTCAAAGATGTCTAGCCTTCATTTCTATTTTCTATATTCTTTCACACCCCAAGCCCATGATTAGCATATTTATTCATTTTTGGCTTATCCTTCCATTTTTTAAAATGGAGCAAAATATACTCTTTTCTGAACTTTTTTTTCCCTGAGATTTATATTCCTGAAATATATCTCTGTTGACGGGTGAGGGTACTGGGGATTGAACTCAAGGATGCTGTACCACTGAGCTACATCCCCAACTCTTTTTATTTTGAGACAGGATCTCACTAAATTGTCCAGATTGGCTTGAACTTAGGAACCTCCTGCCTCAATCTCCTGAATTGCCAGGAATACAGGCATGCACCACTGTGCCTGACCTAATATATATCTTAACAGCAAATATATTTCTCCTCAACCCCTTTTCTTTTCTGTTTTTTAAATGAGTCATAATTATTTCCTGATCACCTATTGGATTAGTCAAGGTTTTCCAAAGAAACAAAATCAGTAAGAGGCAGAAGTAGATGACATCAATACATAGATGGATTATGAGGAATTGGTTCACATGATTATAGAGGCTGAAAAGTCCCAAGATCTGTAGTCTGCAAACTGGAGTCACACCCAGGACTCCCACTGAGTTCCAGTCCACAATCAAGAGGCAATTGATGTCTCAGCTCAGCCAGATAGGCGCATAGATAACATAACTGCCTGAAGTAACATAGCCTTTGGAGCAAACCAGAAGTGTACAAAACAATTAAAAGGAAAAATGGGATAGTTCAAAGGGGGCTTTTTAAGCTCTGACTATTTCCAGGACTCTAGAAAGCTCCATGTTTTCATACACTCCCTAGCATTGTGGACATGCTCAGGAAAGAGCAAAGAATACTCTCAGCTCTCTCCTCTGGCTGACCTTGAGACTCCAAGCTTCACACGGGAAGTAAAGGTTAAGGCTTCACTTAAACCACTTCCTTAAGCCTTGGCAGGATCTAAAACAAACAAAACCCCTCAGCAAAGGCTGGGAGACGGTGGTCCTAGGCATTTAAGGAAGCCATGCAGTTGATCGATGAGCTAACCAATCAGAGACGTCAGTGGCCACAGGTGACAAACTCAAACCACCAAATTTTATACTTTACAAGGGCAATATTTGTAATGTGGATTATGCCACAATAGAAACTGAACATTAAAAACTAATGTCATAAGGTACATAACATAAGGTACGGCAAAACGGGCAAAGGTATGATAGGTAATTCACAGGAGGCTATCAGTGGTCAAGAAGCTCACGTAAAGTATAATTGTGCAATCATCATCAATCTTATGTAAAATTATTTGTTTCCCATTAAATGATATCTAAAAGAAAAGAAAAAAAAATAGAATCTGTCCTTGAACTAAGCCAGTAGTTTTACTTCTCCCTGGTTAAGGAAGGTCACATCTTGTATTTTTGTATAATGTCTGCACTTGATCATTGTTGACTTGGGTAAATACCACACAAAGGCCAGCTTGATACCAGAATTTCACTACCTCTCATTAGGTAGTGAGGGTGTATTTGTGATAGGCCCAGCACTTTCCCTCCACGATCCCTGGTAAGTCAAGGACCTCTTGTTAATTTCCTGCATTCTGGGAATAGATTTGGTAAGGGTTAGTGAGTGGTCACGGTCATCTGCCATCCTTTGGATTGGTTGGAAAAAGAAAAGGCATGGACTTTGAATGCTGGGAGGTCTGCACAAATAGGAATATTTTTCACTCCAACCCTAACACAAATTTTCGCAGGAGGATGGGCTCTTTCCAAATAAGAGAACAATCACATAGCCGAGGGAAAACAAATATATCCTCTAGCTTCACTTGCTCTCAACTGACTTAAAAATTACTAATTTTGGAGGGCATACAGCTGAGCATTCTGTAGCTACCCGTTGAGTCAGATCTCCGCTCTACGGACAGTGCACACAGACATGTTAATCATTTACAGGTGTTTGAAACTGGCAATACAAGATCAATTACCTCTAAACTTATCGAATCTCTCTCTTCCCCTTCAAAGATGAAGATGCCAAGATCAAAGTTACTGAGATGGTTTCAAGATTTAAGATTTGCAAGGTTGGGGAGAGAAAAGTTGGTGGACAAGAGCACTCAGCATTTACTGGTTCCTTCCAAAGATTGAACCAAAATAACAGGTTGGTGGCTGCATGAGTAAGTAGGATGGGGCCCAGGAAAGCACTAGAGGGCAACTTGACCAGAGAGTCAATGACCAGGTAAAACTCAGAAATAGTGTGGTTTTTTTTTTTAGAATAATAAGAGAAATAGAGCTCACTAGCACTAAACTCTTGGCAACAGAGTGGGGAAAGGGAGGCTTCCTTTCTACAGGTTGATAGGAAGGCACACTCCATTATCAGGATTCCAAATAGCAAGGCAGTGCAGGAAAAGATGTTCCCTGTGTTCCTCTGTGGATCCAGACACTGAAGTGAAGGAAGTCATCTTAAGAAGGGTTTCATTGTCCTGGCTTGAAGAATGGAAGATCAAAAACTCCTGCACTTTTTTTTTAATGTCTCCAAGACTAACAGCCACTCTACTTCACTGGGTCAGCAGGTGCCCACCCTGAGAGTCAACTGGGCCCAAAAGCGTGACAGTGATACCAATCTGCTGAGAACTCTGGGGTGTGGGAGGCACCCTCTGACAATCTGCCAGGTGGATGGAAATGGAAGCGTACTTCATCTAAAATTGATAGTTGGAACTTTGCAATAGGGAGCAAGGCCAGC